AGGTCCTGCGCTGGGACTTAGGGTGGCTGTGACGGGCTGGGACGTCCCCTCTTATCCTCTCGATTTGTCGGAACTGCCAGCTGCTGTCTTCCAGCCACTGTATTTTCAAGAAAGGCATGTTGGTGGTATCTTTTCCAAATGTGTTTGTTTATTGTCATTTCATATCAGTAAAACTTGGCTAGGTAGGGCCGGCATGTGGTGTGGAGGTTAAAGGCGCTGGATTCCCACGTGGCTGACCGTAGTTCGAGTCCCAGACCTGGCACCCTGCTTTCTTGCTTTCCCTTTCTCTTTCTGGTCAAAATTTAAAAAATAATATTAACAAGAAGAATGAAATAAGTCAATAAATCTTTAAAAAATGTAAAAAAATACTTGATTAGGTAAGAAAGTTTCTGAATCACCATTCATAGTTCTCCCTTCAAGGGCTCTTCAAAAAGACGTAACATAGAATGAAAGTACGCGTTTACAGGGTGTGAGACACTCTGACACCCGTGCACAGGCTTCCGTAGTGCAGTCCCACAACCTTCTTGACAGCCTTGGTGCCACACTCAGCGTGAGTGCGCGTAGAGCACTGGTGCTGCAGAGACGGGAGCCCACCGTTGGGCAGTTCATACATGGTGCCCGCCCTAAAAGCCCGAGGACGCTGGAGCAGGACCTCCGCAGCACGCCGGCCCTTCTAAGCGCAGCGCTGCTGTCTGGGCCCGCCCTGTGCGGCTGCATGCCGTGGTGCTGTGCGGGGCCTCTCCCAGGGGCGGCTGCCTCCACTTCCCTCGGGTGGGACCTCTGGCCTGTCTCACACCTTCTTTCTCAGGTGTCTTCCACGGGACTTGTTTTCGTTTCTTTGGTATTGGTCTGCCTTTTTTTTTTTTTAAAGAAAGGTTTTTGCTGTAGGGCGCATGCACTCTCCTGAGAGACAGACCGACAGAAAGCGAGAAATCACCCACAGTGGGATGGCCATGCTGCAGTCTCTTCTCCGGTTTCTTTCTGGAGTTTGGGCCTGCACACACATGCACCCGGCATGAGTTTTTAAGCCACCAGGTCTCGAACTCGAACCTGGTTGACTATGTGGGAGTCCAGTGACATCTGCTGGTCACAGCGCTGTTCTGTTTTTAAGCCTTTTCAGTGCTTTAAAATTTTGGTTTTCTTGCATTTTTTCTTTGGTTAAGACGCCCAGTGCACTCTCTCTGCTTGTTCCGTCTGACCCGGCTGTGTATATGTCCCACGTCTGACCCGGCTGTGTGCACGTCCCACGTCTGACCCGGCTGTGTGCACGTCCCACGTCTGACCCGGCTGTGTGCACGTCCCACGTCTCATCCGGCTGTTTGCACGTCTGACCCGGCTGTGTGCACGTCCCCACGTCTGACCCGGCCTTGGTCCGCGCCCCACGTCTGACCCGGCTGTGTGCACGTCCCCACGTCTGACCCGGCTGTGTGCACGTCCCCACGTCTGACCCGGCTGTTTGCACATCCCCACATACTTTCTCAATGTGACTGCCTGCCCATTTCATGGAACTCATAACTTGTTACACTCCGAGGACGACTGAAACCATTTTTATATTTAAGTAGTCTCATGCTATTCTTAGTATTTTATTTAACTTCTTTTTTTTTTTTTTGAGAGGCTTTTTCTATAGGGCACATGTGCTTACCAGAAAGATAGAGACAGAGAGACAGAAAGCGAGAAATCACCCCCAGGGGGAATGGCCACACTGCAATTTCTTCTCCTCCATTCTCCTCTCGGGATCCTGGGCACACACGCAAACGCGCCCGGTGTGAGTTTAAGCCACCAGGTCTAGGACTCAAACCACAGTCGACTACATGGGAGTCCAGTGACATAGCCATTACACCAACTGCTGGTCCCCAGTATTTTACCTAACTTTTTAAAAAATAGCAAAGACTGGGGCCGGCAGGTGGCATTGTGTTCAAGGGCACTGGAATCTCATCTGACTGACTGTGGTTTGAGTTCCAGACCTGGTGACTTGCTTTCTCACTTTCCTTCTCTCTCTCTGTCTCTCACTTGTCAAATTAAAATAAATAAATAATAAAGTTAAATAAAATAATTCTTAAAAATAACAAAGATAGATGAATTTTATTAACTAAAGCAGATAAAAGTCATGTTTTAGTGTGCTTTAACTTGTTGATCAAATAAATAAGCTGACAGATCTTTGGTGGCTGAAGGTTCAGCGAGGTGAGAGACTGAGCCCCTGGAGTACAGTGTGCTGTTCTTGGAAATGTCCTGAAGGTATTAGCATGGAGTTTGCTGCACACGTGCTCGTGGGGAAGTGAGTGGCTCTGTATTTGTGGATACTGACATTTGAGCTTCAGATGTTTTTTTTTTAAAAAAAAAAAGTTTTAAATTTAATTTTGTTATTATTTAATTTGACCAGAGAGAGACAGAGAGAGAGAGAGGAAGAGAGCGAGCTTCATGGGAATCCGGCACCTTCATTGCCACCTGCTAGCCCCAAGTTTCAGACCATTTTCATGTATATTAATTTTCATGTGTCATGAAGTATTATTATTATTATTTTTGGTCTTTTTTCAACTGCTCTAAAACTAGAAAGACCTTTGTCAGCTCATGGGTGTTCAGAAGCGGGCGACAAGACAAGGTTTCCGGACCCAGGCTTCAGACGGACCTGCCACTGGGCGTGTCTTCTCGGAAGGATTGTCAGAGTTCACCAGTGGTGTTATCAGGCCTTTTAAATACTGGATCTTAAATTATTTATTTAATCTGCTGTAAAAAGAAAAACGTGTCTAAATCAGTTTTCTTCTTAGTTTGGGGGGATTCCTTTTGATTCTTCTTAGTTTACTAGAAATCTATTCTATTCCTCTGAAATGTCCACTTTCCTGTTTTGTTTTTTTTTTCTTGGATGGTTTATATGTTTTGTTTTTTTTTTTTTGCCAGACTTACACACAGAACTGTATTATCATAAATAATGTCCTATCTTCTGTGTTTTCACTTTTTCCTTATTTTATCTTTTGCCTGTTTTATGAGAACTTTGTCTATTTGCTTATCTTCTCAAAGAGACAATCTAGGCTTATTCACCTTTCTAATATTTTATTTGATTTCTAATTCATTAATTTCGCTCCTTATTTTTATTCACTCCTCTTCCAACGGTATTTGCTGCTCTGTTCGGGCTCTAAATGAAGAGCACATTTGTCCCCTCTGATCTTCCGTTCCGCGGCGCATTTGTCCCCTCTGACCTTCCGTTCCGCGGCGCATTTGTCCCCTCTGACCTTCCGTTCCGCCTGGCCCACGAGGCCCAGTTCCCGACGCCTTCAGCTCCTCCCTGCCTAGTTGATAGTTGTAGCTCCGGTCACTCGTCGAGCTCCCGCCCCGCAGGTGCGCTCAGCTGTCTCGTGTAAGTTGGGGAGGCCGCGCGGGCACCCGTGCTGGCGGGCCGTCCTTCCTCGGAGCAGAGCCGACCCGTGCGCTGAAGGTGCGAGCGTGAGGGTCGGGTGTGTGGAGGCGGCGAGCGTGTGAGGGTTGGTGTGTGTGGGGTGTGGAGGCGGCGAGCGTGTGAGGGTCGGGTGTGTGTCGTCTGGCTACTGGGGGGCAGGGATCGCGGGTATATACACCC